ACTGCCTTCCACTAAGTTCGTACAGACACTGTTGTCATCGGAAAGCAGAAGCCACCTGCAGGCAGACTGATGTGAAAAGGCCCACTCTCCAGCTAGCCACACGTCACAGCCTCCCAGGTGCCTGAGTGGGCTACAGAGCACAGCTTTGGCTGCCTGTGGGTTATGCGGGAGGTGGAGGCAGGAACTTACCGTAGGAAGGTGTGAAGGGAAAGCAGAAACTCTGTTTTAGCCTCTGTGGTCCCTTGACTGCATTTCTTTGAGCAGGACACACAAACATGTTCTAATGTGATATTCCCTGGACTTCCCAGTGCACAATCTTGTGCTCATCAATATCATTTTAGGGGAATTTACATATAGGTCTATAAAAAGAACATCAGACAATAATGGTCAGGGCTATTTTACTAGGCTATTGGTGATCTGGAGGCAGCCTTTTTATGCAATGTTTGAGAAAGGGAATAACGCGTGTTATTTGAAATAATCTCCAATTTGAAATTCCAAGCAGTCAGCTATCAGAAGCAAAGGACACAAGACCATGATGAGGATAGATCCTAAAAGCCAGGTGGTGGTGGCTCACACCTTTAACCCCAGCACCCAGGAGGCAGAGGCAAGCTTATCTCTGTGAGTTCGAAGCCAGTCTGTTCTACAGCGTTTCAGGACAGCCAAGGCTACATAGAGAAATCGTGTCTCGAAACACAATAAAACAAAACCAACCAACAAACAAAAAAAAGATAGTCCCTAGAAAAGAACGCTGAGTGAAAAAAAGAATATAAGACGATTTATAACGTTCAAGAACATATTAAGTTAAAAAAACACACTGAAAATGTTATTGATTAAAACATACATAGATGCTTACAAGGGCACTTATTCATCAACCTTTGGGGGGACTGAGTTTGAGGTTAGGAATAGGGGTAGCGATAAAAAAGAAATAAAGAAAACCACAGTTGCCTAGCAAGACTGATTATCCCAGCTCATAGTATTCTCAGTGCACGCCGGTCTCCTTTCTCCTGGGTCTATGGACTCCACCTAGCCTCTAAGAGATTTCCTTGGCTCCACCCCATTCAGAATAAATTTGCAAATTTCTCTGCAGACCACTGCCCACGAACCGACCTACGGGGCTCCGCCCCCTTCGAACGTCTGCCTTGCTTCAGCGGCCGGGGGCGTGGCGGTTGCCTGGCGACCGAAGACGCGCCGAGCGCCGGCTTTCGGCGCCAGGCTGGCGATCAAAAAAAAAGCGTGTCGCCCTTTTAGACACTGGGGGCAGTGCACAGCCCCTTTTCTCCAGACTCCAGCCCAGTTTTCTGATCTCCACGGCAGCCTTTGCGGCCGCCTTCAAAGAGCGTCAGGATGACGGAGGTCAGGAGTCAGCGCCCCTCTGTTGCTTCTTCGCTTCGACCTCTCCCTGTCATCTCTCTCTTACTGGAACTCATCCTTTGTTACATTCACTAATTCTGGCCCCCCTCACCAGCACCCTCGCTGTCTGCACCCTCGCGCTTCTCTCCCTTGGCTCTGTCCCACTCCTCTCGCTCCTTCATAAGTTCCCAGACCGCAACTCGCACCCTACAGTCTGAACTGCAGGTGTTAGCGTAGAGAGGCTATCGAAAATGTCCCATCGACACCCTGCTCACTAATGCGTCCACCTGTCACACCCTGATTCCCCAGCTGTCATACACTTCCATCAAGGTCCTTCAGTCTATCATCACTGCCCTGTGTTCTCATTGACCGTGTGTTAACGTCTCGCAGCCTCCGTCTCTCACCCACATTATAGGGCACTTCATCTCCAGCCTCACTGATGAGGGTTCATTTCTGCACCCTTCAGTAACCTGTCTGTCCATTACTCCTCTCATTTAAAACCTCAATGGCCCTACATCCTTGCCACCACTTGACATTCAGAGTTCTCATCTTTCCTGGTCTTAAATTCCCCTTCGATCTATCAGGACCCACCCCCACCTTACCTATTACACAATTTCCAGCCAGAATCAGCTGCTTAATTTGTGAGACCCAGAGTAAAGTGAAAAGCTTTCTGTTAAGATTATTAAGAAATTTAAGACATGACAGCAGAGAATTTAGCCAAAGTAGGAGTCTTCTGGATCCCGTGTGACTGAATGGGCCCACATCTGTGAAGCCGGCCCTAGTCCCAGCATCTCCTAGCCACTTCCATGCCTTGCCCTATTTCTTCTGTGTTCTTTGTGCCTCTGCATCCACCCTCCCTTCCACCTCCTCAATGCCTGGTCTTCCTTTGTAGCCTTCTCATGGTTAATGTCTCTTTATGACTCCTGGTCCCCCACATCGGTCCCACTCCCAGGCGTCATTACTCTCCTCTCATGACACCCATGAGCCTGTGTCCACATCCCTCCTCCCCACCACCTAGTCTCTTTCCTGTCTCCTTGCTTCCCATCCTCTCCTCTTGGTCCTGCTAGCTCCCATTGCTACCCTCCGTTGTTTGCTTTGAGGGTTTCCTCCTCCATTCTTTGTCTCTGTCGTATTTCATTGCTCTTTATTCTCCACGAATGCTAAATGCTCTCTCCTCCTTACAAGGACTGTGCCTCAGACCCCAGGGCACTGCCTGACACACGGCAGACCCTCTGTAGGCGAATGATGGAATGCCACAGTTCCTCCGATCTGGTCTCTTCATGTCGGTATCCTTCTTAAGTACGCTCCATCACGCTTGGCCACAGTGTAGATACCAACTGCCCATAGGTCAGAGCTAAGAGATTATTTTTCTTTTGCCTTGAATAGAATACTTTTTGAGATGGCAACATGAAAATACATCTCTTTTGTTCATAAAAGTCTCTTTAGAATGTTTCTTTGATATTTCTCCATTCCTATACTAACTTCAGGCATACAGGGGAGAACCTGGGCGCAAAAGAATCAGCATTAGGGCTGCTGGTCAAATGTTGACATTCACACGACTCTCAAGGTTAGAGCACAGACACTGTTGTGGTGGACTGGTGTTGATGACTCGGGTTTTGCGTCAGTGAGATGGAGCCACAGTAGCACCACATTTGCTAAATACGGCTTTTCCTCCTTCGAGCATTTGCTGAGTTGTGTTCCATGCAATAATCTGCTTTTAGTAAGGAAACCTCTGTTGGGTTTAAAACAGTACTAAAGCTGTTAAGCCAAGTGTTGCAGGCGCCACATTTAAATCTCTAAACATAGTGTTTGTCTTGCGAGTCACATGTAGGGATTTAATTAACTGTACACATTTTTCCTTTCTTTTTTAAACTATGACTATATATAAATCTTCCTCATACTGCGCAAACTATGCCCATTGAGAGAAGAGGCAAACAAGGCTACTTAGGATCTTCAGGGTGGATTAGAATTTTATTATCATTGAGATGAAAGATTACCTCATTTGGTTTCTTTGATGAGCAGTGGGCAGTGGACGTTACGCCCTTTTTGTGTGGACTATCTGAGCATAGTGTGAAAAGCTAAATAAAGCTTGCAAGCTGCATCTACCCTTAGAAGTTTGGGGTGTGTGGTAAAATGTTATTTTAAGGTGTGTTACATTTGTTTATGCTCTGGAATATTTGTTTAACGGTGCAAAGATGTGTTTTATTAAATAAAATTCACCTGCAGTCAGGAGGCTGCGTTAAAATCTAGCTGTCAGGAAGTTGTAGGGAGGAGCCAGGTGGAGAAGGGTTTTTAAGGAGGGGCAATGAGAACTTCTTGAGAGTCTCAGGAGGTGAGCTAGGTGAGCTAGGTGAACTGCTTGCTATTCAGTCTCTCTGGGGAGCAGAATTTTACCTCAACCTTTGAATCTTGAGTTCTTTAGAGGGACAGAGGTTTAGATAAGTTCTCTTAATAATTTTGAAAGAGTTGGTACCTGAGGGAACAAAATTTCCCCAGGCTACGACTGTTGCAGCAGAACCACCGCTGGTAGGGGTGGAGGTGTGGGTTATGCTGACTAGGATAGTCATAGCTTAAAAGGAAGCAACAATTAAACAAGAGGACAACAGGGTGGGTCTTTGCAGCTGCCAGAACACGAATCCATATGCCTTAGCGCGTCATTCCGCCTCCCAGCCTGTCTCTTCTCCTTGCCATCCTTCTTATATGTGGGCATGTCGGGCACTTGTGTGGCTGTGAGCTCCCCTCAGGCATTGCCATCGCTGGGACTGATCTTTTCCCTAGAGCCACTGTGAGAAGGCTTTTCTTACTTCAAGTGGCTCGAGTACCACTTCTTTCATGAAATGTGCTTTATTCTCACTGCTGGGAGTAAGTCTTGTTATGTGTTCTTGAAGAACATAGAATGCATTTGATGGCAGGGATTGAATATTTCTGATACTACAGGGCAGACTCGACTAGTTACAGTGAAACAGAAATACCCTGCGGGTGGACCATTTGTGCCTTACCTCGGTTGCCTTTATAATAGGCTTCACCACAGAACTGTCCTATCGAGGGTACTGAATAAACATTCGTTGAATGAATGAATGAATGAATGCATTAACCATACCTTTATCATTATTAGTGCTGCTATGCTGTACTTACTAAGTAGTTGTTCATTTGAGAGAGCAGCCAGAACAAAGTGCCCCAAACAGTGACTTCAAACAGTAGAAATCTTTTGTCTCCCAGGTCTCAGTGCTGGAAGTCTAAAGTCAAGATGTTGGCGAGTCATGCTCCCTTTGAGACCCTGAGTGAGATCTTCCCCTGTCTCTTCCTAGTCTCTGGAAGTAGCCGACAATGTTTAGCCTTCCTTGGATTCTAACCGAGTCAGTGCAAGCTGTCTTTACACTCTCTCTGTCTTTGTTCAAATCTGCTAAGGATGCTTATCTTATTGAAGTTAAGGCTTATCTTTCTTGGGCATGACCTCATATCAACTAATTATAATGCCATATATGTATGCATATGTACTACATAATTACATCAGAGGAGGAGGATGAAAACTTCTCAACGTTTCTGCTGGCTGGTGGCTTTGGTTTTGCGTGTGTGAGGGGTTATCACTCTGGGGTACCAGCAGCCATTTCATGACAGTAATAGGGTAACACCCTTGCTCTTGTTCTCAGGAAAAGGGTGAAAAACTCGTGCTGGAGGAAACTGCGATTGAAGAAATTGAAAGAGACTTTCAGGAGGTCCTCAATGAGCTTTCGGGAGACAAAAGTCTGGAAAAATTCAGGGTTGAATATGAGAAACTTCACAATATCATGAGAAAGTCTTACGACAATGAGAAGCGCCTCATGGCCAAATGCAGAGAGCTGAATGCAGAGATTGTGGTGAACTCCGCCAAGGTGGCCACCGCCCTGAAGCTTTCTCAGGACGACCAGACCACCATCGCGTCTCTCAAGAAGGTCAGTGATCTAGACGCAGATGAGCTTGACTTTCAAACGCCACCTGTCCATTACACTGACAGCTCTCTGACTGGTAAGACATGAGTTATCAGGTCAAAATTTACATAATATAGATATTCATTAAGCCTAGGGAAGAGTATTCACTTAGAGAGAAAGTAATTGGCCCTGGTGAGGCTTACCATGCTGAAAGCGAATGGAGAACTTCATTTTTACTGATGAGTTTCTGGAAAACAAAGGGTTAGCCAAAAGACTTAGATATAAAATGCAGTATTGGGGCTCTCGGAATGTTCTGTTGATGAGTATACATCTGACAGTGTGTGTGTGTGTGTGTGTGTGCTCATGTGGAGGACAGAGACTTAGAGTTGTTTCTCAGATGTTGCCCACCTTGTTTAGAATGGCGGGGCTTCTCACCAGCCTGGTGCTTCCAGATTAGACTAGATTGACTGCTTGGGTTGGCCCCGTGGCTCCATTGCCTCTGCCTTCCTCACACTGGGATTGAAGTTTGTGCCTCCAGTAGGATGAGACCACAATTTAGGTCATTGTGTTTTTGTGGCAAGCTATTACCCTAGCCCTGCTCTGGTTAAAAGAATATTTTTACATTTCTCCTCTTTCTTCTGCTCCAGGAGAGATTGTTTTGTGAGTTCTCAGGGAATGATTTTCATGTTCATGCTCATTCTTCCCAGTGTCCTTTTCCTTGTTTTTTTTTTTTTTTTTAAATTTATTGTTTATTTATTTATTTCTCTCCAAACGTTCTTTTAGGAGAACCGGAGATTTGGTCTGTGAAATCTGGAGGAAGTCTGCCTTGGTTCCACACTGTGTTTTTCATCCTTAAGTATATTGCATTATCTTGAAGATAAAACATTAATGTTCCCTGTTGATCTCAAAGTCATAAGAGGTTGAGATATATTAATTCACAATTAAATCTCTAACTCTGGGAACTAATTCATGAATGTTTTAGGTAATTCCCTTGATAGCATGCAATCAGATGTCATCCGATTCAAATTAACTTCCAAGACCGGTACAAGACATGACTGACCCATTTTCTTAGAAATTGCTCTCCGCTAGCATGGTTCTTTCTGCTACTGCCATTTTCTTCTTGATGGAAAAGTAATATAAGAAAACTCTAATTCATTTTATAATTGGAGAAGCACTCCTTATTATAAACTTTAGCGCTGGAGATGAAAGTTACAAATGGATGAAAATCTAATTGGCGAAATTGGTTGGGCTAAAACCGTAATCATATTCTCATTTAGATAGCCTTCACTTGTGTTGCCCAGGTGTGCATGTGGTTGCTCTGTCAGGACAGAGCTCACAAGTTGACATTTTCCACTGAGTCACAAAGGGATGTGCTGTGGTTACACCAGAGAACTCTCTGTGTGCTATAAGAGTAAGCTTAGATTTATTTCCTTACAACCACTTTATCCCTTGTCAACATAAAAGCTAAGTATTTTCATCGAAATTTTATAGGCTTTTATTTATATAAAGGGCCCAAATTTTACTTGACTAAAATGTTTCAAGACAGGTCAGTGGCAGGACAAACTCAAGATTAGTGCGGACAAATGCTTATGGTGTTCCTTTATTTGCACAGTGCTAATTCACCTTTGAGGGTGTGTGTAAATATTCCACACTGCGTTTCACAACAGTAACGAAGTCACAGTTCCGTTCCCCCTTGAGCACGAGCATTCGTTAATAAGAAAACAGGCCAGCCTGAGGCACACAGTGAGATTCCTTCTCTTAGAAACAGCCACGGGCTGAGGTAGAGCGCTTGTCTAATGTGCACTGGACGAGGATCTGGGCTTGGGAATTGCTAAGACTGCTGTGCACAGTCTGGTGCCAGCAAAGAAAAGTGACCTTGTGGGATGTTCTAAAGCATCTAGGCACTCACCTGAGACATGAGGACAACGCACACACAGTGTGGTTGTGTGTATGTTTGTTATATAAGTGTGCGGACATATGTGTATGTGTGTATGTATATAAATATTTTCAGGCTGGCCTTGAACTTGCTATGTAGCCCGGGTCGTCCTCAGACTCCGATCCCCCTGCTTGCCTAAAATATATTTGTTTTATTTGCAAAATTATCAAGAGTTACTTTCAATCTATTAATTTAAGGATTGCATCTATGATCATCTCTTACGGAACAGAACTATTTTAAGAATCCGTTAAGCATATAAGCTTTCATTTAAAAACTTTAAAATTTATCACTTTTTCAGAAGTATTTCTGCCTCAGTAAAACTTTGCAGCCACACTCAGGAAAAACACTCCTGGACTAGTGTCCTCTTCCCGACCACTCACACCGAACAGTTTAGTTAGTCCAAATCCCCACGTACCATGCAACGCACACTCTTCTTTCCCCATAGTGACGGGCACACCGCAGCCATAGTGCCGTTCTTTGTGCAGGTTTAGCTCGCATCTGGAATCCCATTTGTTATTTCTCACTGAAACTCTCTGGCCCATCAGGAAATTGAAAAGGCCTGGAAGATGGTGGACTCGGCATACGATAAGGAGCAGAAGGCCAAGGAGACGATTCTTGCCCTGAAAGAGGAGATAGTGAACCTGACCAAACTAGTTGAGCAGGGGTCTGGACTGTCCCTGGACCAGGATAGCAAGTAGGTCAAAGCCTTGCTGAGAGTGTGTGACCTTGCCTCTGCAGGGCCCTTTCAGAGTGCACCGGCCTGGTGCAGTCTGGCCCCGTGAGCCTGTGGTTGAACTGCACCTCTTTAAAAGGTTCTCTGTTTTGCAAAATTCCCCTTTTCGGGATTCCTAAAAACTGTTTTCTGCCTAGCCCTGTTTTTAGTTTTTAAAGATTTATTTATTTTAAAAATTTTATTTGTAGAGTCGAGAGATGGCTCAATAGTTAAGCATGCGCTGTTCTTCCAGAGGACCTGGGTTCAATTCCCAAGACCAACAAAGTAGCTCACAACTGTCTGTAACGCCATTTCCCTGGGACCTGACAGCTTCATACCAATAAACATAAAATTAAAGTAAATTATTAAAAAATTTATTTGTATAGGTGCTTTGTCTCCACAGATGTCTGTTCACCACTTGCATGCCTGGTACCCATGGAATCCAGAGGGTGACATCAGATCCCCTGGGAATGGAGTTATATTGTGGTGGTTGTGGGACACCATGTGGGTGCTGGGACTCAGACCTGGGCCTTCTAGTAGAGCAGCCAGCTCTCATATCCCCTGATCTATCTCTCCAGCCCCTGCCTCTTCTTTCAAAGACTCTCTTTGTCTTACCCGAAAATTACATTCCACCTTTCTCGAGAAGAAACCCTACTACAGTTTCTGAGTGAGTAGGGGTTTTAGCTTTACCTTTCTATTATTTTGACTGTTTAGTCTTTAATTATTGATGTTACACATTCACACACACGTGCATGCACACACACACAATTTATAAATGCAACCTGCCGAGTCCATTTAGTGTTGCTCATAGGTAGATGTGTTTAGCACTGACCATTTGGCCTTGGATAACCTATCAAGGGGCTTGTTCCTGGGGAGAAGACGATTCTCCCTGTCTCAGCATCCCCCAACCCCCTGTAGCTCTTCATCTAGGGCTGGGGCCTTGCGAGTTTTTCCCCATCCATGTTGGAATGCCTACTGGGTGCTGCCATTTTTTCAGATCTTGTTTAGGCAAACATACGGTTGATAATTCCTGGATGTGACCCTACCTTAAACAGAAGACACTGTCTTGAAGCAGATTTCCTCATCCTTTGGCTCTTAAATTCTATTTGCTCTTCTGCAAGTTTCCTTGGACTTTCAGTATAGAGTTGCACTGCAGATGTGTCAGTTGGGGTTGGACATCCCACGGCCAGTTGCTGTCTGCATTTTGACCACTTGTGTCTTTCTGTACTGGTCTCTGTCTGCTACAAAAAAAAAAAAAAAAGTATCTTTGGTGAGGGGCGCGAGCTACACTTACTGCGGTGTAAGGATGCGTGTTTAGAATGCAGTTGTCTCTCTTAAGCTGGTGTTGAATGGAACTTTGGCCTCTCTGCCCCATCCCAGCAGCTCTTACCTACCCTCCACAACTAATCCCATCGTTGTCTTTCCTACCTGCTCAGGTTCCAGGCAGGATTGACTTGCTCTTCACCCTGCCACTCCTTCATCCCTCAATCTTTGTCTTCTTGGTTTGACTTCCTGGGGCTGGTGCTGCTGCCTGGCCTGCACCCCTGTTCTCTGCTTTCTAATTGGCCTCCCTGTATACAGCAAGACACCTCCCTCTGTATCCACCATTGCAACCTGAGGTATGTTTCTGAAGCACACATCACCCGTCCCTGTCCCTGCTGGGTTACCCATACTCAAAGGATAGAGCACAGATTCCTGAACTTCTCGTTCAGAGCCTTTCAAATGTCTGGGGTAGTTTGCCTGTCTAGCCTCATGCCTAGCCATCCCCCAGTCATGGCTTATAACTCCCACCTCTGCACAAGCATGCCCCCCCCCCCCCATGCCCACGATGCCTTTTCTCCATTCTCCCCCTGGCAAAGTCCTTTCAACCTTAAACCCACGGGGAACACACTTTGTTACAATCAGAATTTCTGTTCCACCTCCTCTCCTCCTCCAGATGCCAGTGACCAGGTAGGCAGAATTGCTGTATTTTCTGTTTCTACAGAATCCAACACGTACTTCCAGTATGGCCTTGGTTACATCATACTAAAAGGTTCTAACAGGCTTCTGTGCTAATTAGTTTGTTTCTCCCCCACCCCCACACAAACTAAGTCATCTGGGAACTTCAGTTGAGAAAATGTTTCCTTCCAATTTCCAGTAAGCAAGTCTCTGGGGCATTTTCTTGATGAATGGTTGATGTGGGAGGGCCCAGGCCACTGTGGGTGGTGCCGCCCCTGGGCTGGTGGTCCTGGGTTGTATAAGAAGGCAGCCTGAGCAAGCCATGCTGAACAAGCTAGTAAGCAGCACCCCTCTGCGGTCTCTGCTGCAGTTTCTGTGTCCAGGATCCTGCCTTGAGATCTCGCCCTGACTTCCCTTCATGATGGGCCTAAGAGGTTTCCGTCCCCAAGTTGCCTTTGGTCATGGTCTTAGCAACAGAAAAGCAAGTTCTGACAAGTTCACCCACTCGAGCTGAAAGCTCCTGAAGGAACAGAACTTTCTAAGCCTTGCCAGAGTCTAGCTAGAACAGTGCAGGGCACACAGTGCCCCACACCAGGAGCAGGTGTGCACCTCCTTGGGCATTCTTTTTTTAAATTGTTTTTATTGAGCTACACATTTTCTCCCCTCCCTTCCTCTTCTCTTTCATTCCCCCTTTCTCCCCTCTCCCATGACCCCCATGCTCCCAGTTTACTCAGGAGATCCTGTCTTTTCCTTCTTCCTATGTAGATCCATGTATGTCTCTCTTAGGGTCCTCTTTGTTGTCTAGGTTCTCTGGGGTTGTGGACTGTAGGTTGGTTTTTCTTTGCTTTATGTTTAGAAGCCACTTATGAGTGAGTACATATTATATTTGTCATTCTGGATCTGGGTTAATTCTCTCAATATGGCTTTTTCTAGATCCAATCATTTTCTCGCAAATTTCAAGATGTCATTATTTTTTTTCTCTGCTGTGCGGTACTCCATTGTGTAAATGCACCACATCTCCTTTATCTACTCTTTGGTTGAGAGACATTTAGGTTGTTTCTCGGTTCTGGCTATTGCAAATAATGCTGCTATGAACGTAGTTGAGCGCACGTCCTTGTGGTATGATTGAGCATCCTTTGGGTATATACCCAACAGTGGTATTGCTGGGTCTTGGGGTAGATTGTTTCCTAATTTTATGAAAAACCGCCATACTGATTTCCAAAGGAGATGCACAAGTTCGCACTCCCACCATCAATGGAGGAGCATTCCCCTTACCCTACATCCTTGCCAGCCTAAGCTGTCATCAGTGTTTATGTTTGGTCATTCTGATAGGTATAGGATGGACTCTCAGAGTTGTTTTGATTTGCATTTCCCTGATGACTAAGGACGTTGACCATTTCCTTAAGTGTCTTTCAGCCACTTAAGATTCAACTATTGAGAGTTCTCTGTTTGGGTCTGTATTCCATTTTTTTTCATTGGATTGTTTGTTCTTTTGGTGTCAGGTTTCTTAAGTTTCTTGTATATTTTGGAAATCAGTCCTCTGTCCAATGTGGAGTTGGTGAAGATCTTTTCCCAATCTGTAGGCTACCATTTTGTCTTGTCGATTGTGTCCTTTGGTTTACAGAAGCTTCAGTTTCAGGAGGTCCCATTTATTAGTTGTTGCTTTCGGTGTCTGTGCTACTGGGGTTATGTTTAGGAAGTGGTTTCCTGTACTAATGCCTTCAAGTGTACTTCCCACTTTCTCTTCTATGAGGTTCAGTGTGGTTGGTTTTATGTTGAGGTCTTTGATCCATTTGGACTTAAGTTTTGTACACTGCATTCTCCTACATGTTAATATTCAGTTATGCCAGCACCATTTGTCAAATATGCTTTATTTCCATCTTATATTTTTAGCTTCTTTGTCAAAGATCAGATATGTGGGTTGATATCCAGGTCTTCGATTCAATGCCATTGGTTCTCCTGCCTGTTTTTTATGTCAATACCAGTTGTTTTCATTACTGTAACTCTGTAGTAGAGTTAGAAGTCAGAGATTGTGATGCCTCCAGAATTTCCTTTGTTGTACAGATTTTTTTTGGCTATTCTGTTTTTTTTTTTTCCATATGAAGTTGAGTACTGTTCTTTCGAGGTCTATAAAGAATTTTACTGGGATTTTGATGGGCATTGCATTGAATCTGTAGATTGCTTTTGGGAAAATTGCCATCATTACTATGTTAATTCTACCTACCCAAGGAGCATTGGAGATCTTTCCATTTTCTGGTGTCTTCTTCAATTCCTTGGACACTCTTAGCCAAACCTAATGTTGCTCTTTCAGTTTCTTGTATTTTCTTGCTCTATTGATCCAACTTTGAAGGATGTTGTATTTAGAGGCATTGGGAGAGGAAATCAGAAAACCAAACACGGTCTCTGTAATGTTGTACTCGTGGTAGGAGAACTAATCATGAGCCACCTGAGAGAGCTGATCCAGACCGGAATCATTTTAACAAGAAGTGGAAGAGGGCGGGCGAGCAAGGAGGATGGGCGGGGCAGGGCGAGAGTGGGCGGAGCAGGGCGAGGAGGAGAATGGGCGGAGCAGGTGCAGTTTGTAGTCCGAGCCTCAACAGCGTGCTCAGTTGTGGGTCTCTCTTCAAATCAACCCTCGAGTTGAGGTTTCATTTCTGCAGATGCAGTTGGGCAGGGGCTGGAATGTTCCTTATTAAACATTTATGTTCCATCAAGGGTGCTGGCAAGTGAGCACTGTCAAATGCTTGATGACTGTCAGCTGCAGGACTCCACGGGGTGTGTTCTTAGCGTCTGCTGTCTCCCTCTGAGTTTCCTGTGCCACAAAAGTCCCACCGGACACAGGGCGTCACACCCGGCAAGCCCCAGTTCTGCAGGAAGTCATGGCGAGTCAGATGGAATGGATTTTGTAATGTGAAGCTATTTAGTTTACAATTCAAATCGATGAATATTATCACATCTCTCCAGAACCCAGCAGCAAGCCTCATTTTAAAGTTTGTTCTGGGGAACATTTTCTGTGGGCTGCCCCTTGGGAGAAGCTGGTTTCTTTGGGTGAATGGAAAGGAAATTGGCGATGCGTTTTATCTGGTTATATTTATGCTTTGTTTTAGACGTTTGGTGTCATCGTAGCCCCCCAGTGGATATGTTAGATAAATAATTTCCTAAATTGACATCTCCTCAGTGCTTATTATAGGAGCTGACAATAACAATATGGTCTTATTGTAACAGATCCTAGTAACACAGCTACGGAAGAACCCATCCCTCCGATTTTTTCACCCTAAATCATGATTCTCAGAGATAATTGGTAACATGATTAGTATCTGTCTTTCTAGAAGTGTCTGTAGAACACGAACACACGCACACACCAGACACAGCGGAATAGACGCTATATTTTACTAAAACATAGAAGAATCTTACTGTATTTATTATTTCTGTCACTGCCTTTCAGCAAACGCCTCACAATCAGCCCCCACTCTTGTCACTTATCACCCGAACAGTGTGCCACATCGACCTCCTAGGAAGACGGGGCTTGGGGACCCTTGAACAACTGGCCACTTAGCCAGATCCCTGTGTTTTTCCTTTTCAGCATCCGAGATTTACTGAAGTTCAAGGAAGAGGTGACAAAGGAGCGCGATCAGCTCCTGTCGGAAGTGGTGAAGCTGCGTGAAAACCTAGCCCAGACCACCGAACAGCAGCTGGAAACGGAGCGCGCCAAGGAAGAGGCAGAACACAGTATCAACCAGGTCTGCTCACGGCGTGCGCGTTCTGGAGGGCGGGCCGTCCTTCCTGCTTGGCTTCCCAGCTAGCTCCTCTCTCACGTGACTCTTCGCGTCCTCTGTTCTGCCTCATTTCCCTGGCCCCGTTTCTTGAGCCCATTTTTGCCTGAGAAGTCCCTTCGGCTCTGTTAAGGTTTAGGCTCAAACAGGTGTCCTTGCCCCAGACATGAAACAAGGAATCCTTCTACCTTCTCTGTAATTCCCAAGATAAATCACAAGAGTAGACAGACTCTTGTAAGAAAATGACATTTTGAGCATGAGATAAGGAAAGGACTTCTCACAGACTTTGAACATCAAGTTGTAACCAGCATGCTTAGCAATGCCCAGGATCAAGTAACACAATTTTGTATTTCCGGTAGCACGCCCCTCCTAACGCATATATTTAGCATCTTTAGGGCTCCGCGCTGCTGCATTTGGTTGATTTTTATATTACCATCTGCGAATTTGCTGTGTACAGCCAGGGTGGACCTTTTGGTGTCAAGGTCCTGAAAATCAACACAGAACAGTCCCGAACCTCCGAACCTCCGAACCCAGGGCCCCAGCATGGCTGCTTCACAGAGGCGTGTGCAGCAGAAGTATGCTACAGCCAGATCCTGCCAGGGCAGCCTGTGGCTGATGGAGACCCGCCACTGCAAGCGCTCACCTCTCATTTCCCTACCCTTCCCCACAGTTCCAACAAGAAATTCAGCACCGTCAGAATGAAGCGTCCAGGGAGTCTCGGAAGAAGGAAAAGCTGGAGAAAGAGCTCAAGCAGATCCAGATGGACATGGACAGCAGGCAGACAGAGATCAAAGCCTTGCAGCAATACGTGCAGAAGAGCAAGGAGGAGCTCCAGCGCCTGGAACAGCAGCTCAAAGAGCAGAAGGTCAGTGGCTGCCTCTCTTCTCCCCCTTCCTCCCTTTCTGGTGGTTTCAGCCCAGGCTGACCTCAAATTCAGTGTGAAGCTAAGAATGACCTTGAACCTCTGACCCTCCTGACTCTCAGCTAGGATTACTGGCAGGCACAACCCTGTGTGCTTTGTTTGATGCTGGGGACAGAGCTCAGGCCTTCCTGTACGTCAGGCAAACCCTCTGCCTTCTGAACTACAGCCCACGCCCACATTTTTGTGATTTCCCTGCCAAGTAGGTGCAATTCAGTAGCTACGACAGGAACATGCTGCTTATTGCTCTAGCCGGGATTTGAACGTTTTTTGCTTTTCTTTTTTTTTTTAATTAAATCTTTCTATGTGCATGTGTTTACTTGCATGTATGTCTGTATACCTACCACATGTATGCAGTTACCGACAGCTGTGAACTGCCGTGTGGGTGCTGGGAATCCAGCTTGAGTCCTTGAAAGAACAGCCAGGAAGAACAGTCCTGCGTCATGGCCTCGCCAGTCCCAATGAGTCTTAGGGAATATTTATTAACTATTTTCTTGCTCCCAACCCTCAATGGTATTCAAAGATAGTCTTTTCCCCCCTTCCTTTTCTTTTTTGAGTTCTGGGGGTTAAACATAGGATTTTACAGGTGCCAGCAAGCACTCTACCCCACTACAATATCCCACCCTTCAAACTCTTTTCATTTTTTTGTTTGAGACAGGGTCTCCCCCAGTTGCCCATTCTGATCTTGAGGTAGCCATCCTCCTCCCCTTGTTTCCTGAGTAGCGGAGATTAGAGGTTTTAATCATCATGCCTGCCTTTACATTAGTTTCTTTTAAACCTTTCATGGATGGATAATGTATACATAGACAAGCATATATGTCACAAGTATGCAGATTCATGTATTTCCAACATGTGATCAAACCTTGTTCACATGCAGTCTGCTTAGAAGACAGAGTGTTGCTGATACCCCAAAGCCCCCGGGCCTCTTCTCAGCTGTTTCTCCATCTCTTAAATTCTAAGCAAGTAATACTTTCATCTGAGAAAGAAGCCACAGAGTGGGTTTTTTTCTTTTATCTCACTTTGCCATATTCTGTTGGTTATGAAGTCACCATGTAGTTATGGTTCTGTGGTGTCCATAACCATTAAACATATTAGAGTTTACATCTATTAATAATGTAAAATTCAACTTCTGTTTGTGCTAGTACCATTTCAGGGGCTCAGCGTGGCCAGTAGGGACTGTACTGGCACATCCAGACACCTCTGGCATCACGGCTCTCACAGTGGCCCACGGACCATTCATTCTCAATGCCATAGAGTGACTGACAGGTTTCATTTTCAGTTGAGAAAGCCGTTCTTTGTCTTTATACATTTTAAATATAGTCATTTTTCTAATGCTTCCCCTCTTGTGGCCATTTACGATAATACAGACATTAATGGTTCTAATCTGTCTTTTCTCACCCCGCCCCTCCCAACTTAGGCCCGGCTGGCTTCAAATTTACAACCTTTTGGACCCAATCTTCCAAGTACCGAGATTACAGATGCGAACCACCCTCTTTTCTCGTTCACTAAAGAAACAATACATTTCGTTGAAGGCTCATTTCCTAAAATTATTTTTCTCTTTGTGAAGTTTGTTTCTAAAGGCTTGCCAAGACACATGCACTTTCTACTTAAAAAGTGGATATTAGAATATATTTCTTTGTCATTTGTGCCTTATTCATTTTACATAAAGCCAGAATTCAAATGGATAATGCACAACGTGCAGTCTCCAGGAGGGGAAAAAAAATCCACGAGGCTTCTTTGAACACGAACTTGAAAAAATTAAAAAGGCTTTGAAACCGTGGTAAAACAAGGGTTTTTGTATAACGGAGTAGGATCCATATAAAACAAAATGTCATCTTTAGCATAGCTGGTTCCATTCTGTTTAGTCCCCATTGATAGAGAATTGGATGCTCTCTCTAGCTTTTGTTTTCACATACAGGGAAGCTATATTTGAAGAAGGAGCCTCGTTGACCCTTTCTTCCTTTAGCTCATTTATTATCCTTCGCCTTCAGTGTCTCCCCATAAGAAACAGCTTCTTCAGATAGAGTCCTTTGTTGTTCTAAAACCACGCCTGCACAGAACAGCCCATAGCCACTCTACTGCTGGGTCCCCAGGCTCGACTTAAGTTGGATTAGAGGGGAATTGTCTCTGAGTATGTGTGGGAAGTGGGTCTGCTCAGGGAAAATGGAGGCATGTTAATGCAGGATTTGCTTCTGAAGATGCAGCTTCAGAGCCCCAGAGCTGACACAACCCATTTGAATCTCTAGCTCATTTGCAATGATTATAGACATTGTTGCCTATGCAAAGCCTGCCAAACGGCAAACAGGCATTAAAATATTTATTCACCACCTGTGAACAAGACTTCCCAAAAGCTCCCAGGGGGGGAAAACATGCTCACTGTGTTATTCATTAGAAGGCATCGTTTCCTTGGCCACTTAACATTCGTTACATTGAAGTGTGTTAGAGCTTTCACTGGGGCTAAAGACAATTTTCTGCAAGAAGGAAAGGACCGTGGTGGGTATAGTCCAGGAGGTTGTGGGGCCTCCCGCGTGCATGCTCAGACACAGTCATCAGATTAAAAGGCGCTAAGCAGACCCTGCACTCCCCACCTTTCAGATACTGAACGAGAGAGCTGCGAAGGAGTTGGAGCAGTTTCAGATACGGAATTCGAAACTCCAGCAGGAGAACGAACAGCACTCTTTGACTTGCGAGCAGCTGTCCCAGGAAAACCAGCAGAAGGCCCTGGAGCTCAAAGTAAACACCGTGCGCCACGTCTGGTCCTTAGCACTTCCGTCCGCAGTGCCTGTGAATGCGGGTCTGCCTTTGCTAATGGAGCCCCTGTAGTAGCTCTGCTAGCTAACCTTGACACAGAGAGGCAGGTGCGAGCCCGCAGCGAGCGCTTCAGGGCCAGAAGCGGGGACTTCCTCTATCACTTGTAAAAACTGCTCAGAAGCTTAGGTAAATGCTTCCTCCAGCAAGCTCAGATGTTTCTCTCTAATTAGCCCTGCAAGTAACCGGTTGCCCAGAGCTAGGATCCTTCCCTACCTGCACAATAGAGACCTCACACTAGATTTCACTGCTTGTGTGGAGAAGGTACAGGGAGAGCTGGGGCGTAGACTGGCTCTGTTGGGCATTCCAAAACTGCGGTGGAATCACGGTTTTTTAGTTCTATCCAATACATATTTCAAGTGTTTTTTTCCTGTTCTCCCTTCCCTCGTGAAAGAGTGCTTGCAAATGAACTTTGGATCCTCTTTTGACACTAAGGTCTGTATCATATGCCTTTATGATTGACAGAGAGCTTTATATTTTTTCATTTCGGTTCTGAAAAGAAAACCCATCGTCCATATTTTATTATATTTGGATACTGGCCATAAAAATAGATGGTTTACGAAGAATAATGTGGATAGAGAGCCAGAATATTTTTTGTCTTAGAGTTTCTTTTGAGAATCTGAAGAGGACACACACACACACACACACACACACACCTCACTCCCTCATACCCCCCCCCACTCCCTATACTCCCTACAACTCCCCTCCACCATGGAATTTGTTTTGAATGCACACGGCGAAGAGGAGACTTTTCCAGGATTTTTTCTGAGATTTAACCATGGAATCTGGATTAACGGCTGTATCATTAGGACACCGCACAACTGCTCAGCCGACCTGAACCTTCTAGGGTCTAAGGCTAAGCATATTCAGAAGAGTCTGTAGTGAGTTGACTTGAAGCTTGTTCTTTATGGCCATGTAGCAAGTTGGCACAGACGTGGGATGACCATTTAAGTCAGAGTGATGTATTAGCCCCTGAGGTGAAATTATGATAAAATATGATTACACTAATTCTGTCCTTTGGTAACATGAATGAGACATCAGTGAATATGGATGAATTGTACTAGATCCCTAAATTAATGGGATTGTGTTTCTAGCAATAACCCAGAGATAACACATTGATAATTTTCTCTCTCCCTTCTCGAGTTAAGATGGTTACAGAAGAGCCCTGAATTGTCTTTCTAGCTATTTTTTCTAATTATTTAAAATGGCAAATTAAAAAAAATTAAACTTAAAAATGGCTATATTTTGCCTGCATACATGTCTGTATACCACATGCACGCCTGGTTCCCACAGAAACTAGAAGAGGGCGTTAGATTCCCTGGGATTGGAGTTATCATTCAGGTGCTAGGAATCAAACCTGGGTCCTTTGGATGAATACCAAATGCGTTTAACCACGGAGCCATCTCTCCAGCTCTTGATGACAGCATTACTTAAAAAGCAAATTTAATTTTAAATAAAAATGTCCAGAATACTGGAGACTTCCTTAGCTACAATTATTTTCTGACACCTCTTGTCACTCTGTAGATTTTCTTACTCATGCTACCCTGAACACCTGTCTGCACATTTGTCTGAACAGCTTTCTACACACCTGTCTGTGCACCTGTCTATACGTCTATCTCCATAGCTGCCTGTGCACCTGTCTGCACACCTATCTGCACAGCTGCCTGTGCACCTGTCTGCACACCTATCTGCACAGCTTCTGTGCACCTGTCTGCACACCTGTCTGTATAACTGTCTGCACAGCTTTCTGCACAGCTGCCTGTGCACCTGTCTGCACATCTATCTGCACAGCTTTCTGCACACTTGTCTGTACAGCTTTCTGCACACCTGTCTGTACAGCTTTCTGCACAGCTGTCTGTGCACCTGTCTTCATATCTATCTGCAAGGCTGTCTTTGCACCTGTCTGCACACCTCGAGACTAACACATTTTTAGGAAGGCCAATGCTTTCCCTAGCACATGTAGCTGGGCTACTATGACCCTGTGGGTCCAATATAATGTTTAAATATTTTATAGTGATAATAGCCTTCTCAGAGAGATCACTTTGTAAATGAAAACTGCCAATCAAACCCAGCATTCGTATGCAGAGCTCACATATTTGTATGCATATAACTCAGTGTTCTTGCTTGAGCTTATAATTAGATGGCAATTTAAAGCATCAGAATTTTATCAACCTTTTCATTATTTTTAGTTTACGCACCACATATTTTATTCATAGAACAGAGGCCTTCAGTTTCTTTCAAAACTGCACAATGTGTGTATTTTGATTCCGTTCCGTGGACCGACTCTACACTGACATAGAAAGATCCTCTCCTTATATGCTCCAAGTTCACCATCATCTTGTCACTTGCTCTTTATTTGCTCAGCATCCTGGCTAACTCTCTCTCACTAATACAGGCCAAAGAGGAGGAAGTCCATCAGATGCGCCTTGACATCGGGAAGCTTAACAAAATCAGAGAACAGATCCATAAGAAACTGCACCTGATCGAAGACCAAAAGGCAGAAGTGGAACAGCACAAGGAAACCCTGAAGAATCAGATCATGGGGCTAGAGAGAGGTAAGCATCTGGGTCTCATTTGTAAGCATTTCACTAGTGACTAATGCCAACGCACGAGCCAGGACTCTGTGCCATCAGACTAAACCGTGCAAGGGACATCAGTGACCTTCAGACTGTACCAGCCAACTGGAGGCGCTACCATTTAGAATACTTTCAACTCCCTTTATTTAGCGAATTCTCCCATAGGTTCTGTTGGCACCATGTGAATCTAACCTAAAATACTGTTCAATACTTGCCATAGAAATAAATGACATCTAAACTCTTTGTCTGTCCACAAACAATGAGGTATGTGTTGACTAAGAAGATTTCGGGTTGTTTTTCGGAAGTACTTAGCACAGAGTAAGAGCTTACTAAATGTCATGTGTTATTTTCTGAACAACAATATAATCAAAAATGTGGGATACTGGTGTGGTATGGCAGAAATAGCTCTGGACCCAGAGAAAGAGACTCGGGTATAAATTCTGACTGTGTGGCACAGGGACATGTGTGTCTTCTTGATTTCTTTTCAGGATGCTGTGTGACATAAATTGCTGAAAGATAGGCATAAAAGCACACATTCCCTCTCTGCACGTTAGGCAAGATCTAGATCTCCAGATAATGCTGTTAGACATACTTGTCAAGCAGACCTTTAGGAAGTCCAACTTTTTCCTTCTAAGACGGTGGGAAGGGATTTCTCATTGAGGTGTGGTTGCAGATTGGCGCGGCAACTTCCCCATGCATGTAGTGCCTGTCAACTGGTATGGACCACATGCAAACACTGGGTGTGTGGAGGGTCTTTACCTTCAGGATGCTCACTGGAAGTTTATAGCCTCAAGTCTTCCATGGCCCAGGTGAAGAATAATGGAACTTGTAGAGCATGTGATTGGCCAGATGAGACCGAAATAGTCCCATGTTTTAATTACAATAATTTTGCTTGCCATAATTGTAAGCTTTGAGATAATTCTCTCTCTGACTATAATACATACATACATACACACACATATATTTATATATGTATATATATTCAGTTGTTATTTATTGCTTATAGGTGTTTTACTTGAATGTCTGTGTGCCATGCGGGTGCCTGGTACCCTCAAAGGTCAAAAGAGAATATTGGATCCCCTGGACTGGAGTTAGAGATGGTTGTGGGCTTCCATGTGGGTACTAGAAATTGAAACCTAGATCTTTTGGGAGAGCAGCAAGTACTCTTAGCCACCAAGTTGTCTCTTTAATCCTGGACAGATATTTTTAATCCATTGAGCATTGAATCAAATTCTTCCCCTGTTAAGTCACATTTATGAAAGCCAGCACGTTCTTTTCTTTGGTTATTCCTTCTCTTTATTTATTTATTTTTATTTTATCTTTATTATTATGTATCCAGTATTCTGTCTGCATGTATACCTGCACACCAGAAGAGGGCACCAGATCTCATTATAGATGGCTGTGAGCTGCCAGGTGGTTGTTGGGAATTGAACTCAGGACCTCTGGAAGAGCAGACAATGCTCTTAACCTCTAGCTTCTCTTTGGTTGTTTCGTATTTACTTTTGATAAAATCTTTTCTTAGGAACTTGTTGTTGTTTGTTATAACATCTTGTCATATTGCCCAGGCTAGTCTTGAACTTCTGGGCTGAAGCAGCTCTCCAACTCTCAGCCTCCCAAACAGTTAGAGGTGTGGCCCAGCGGGACCAGTTTCTTTTGATGTACCTAATCAAAGAGCAGTGTTAGCCATAATGGTTAGGAGCATGGGCCCTCTCTAGGTTAGGATTTCCTACAGTAATATCCAAGAAGTGATTTGAAAATCTGCCAGAATTAATATGAGATTTCAATAAGGTGGCACACTATAAAATATATGTAGCTACCAATAGCATTTTGTACAGAGTTCTAGCTAATTTGCTAGAATTCTCTGCCCCAGTAGTAGCTGAAGTAATAAAACAGCTATGAACGAAGTTACCACCATGTCTATAAGACCTATATATAAAAAGCCACAGAATTCCACTGTGGGGCATAAAGGGAGACTTGAAAAATGGAGGGATGTAACAAGTTCTAGGAAGTTACATTTCATATTTCTACCTACAGATGTAAGGAAAAAGATCTAAAAAGCACAAAGACCTTTGGCAGCCAGCAGGTCCAGGCTTTTAATCTCACCCTTTCTGACCCTAGTCCCATGGCCAAGAGTTTAATCTCTTTCAGCTCCCTTTCCATCTCTTTCGTGGGACCGGAAGAGCCACGTCCTAGAGCTAGAATGAAGGTCACCTATCACTCAGCTCAAAGCTACAGCTCAGCTACTCAATTCCGCTACAAATAAAACCGTGTTGCTTGTTAAATCACTTTGCCTTTTTCATGCCCTCCCTTGGTGGACTCTGCATTCATTACTATTTTCCTACCTGACATTTTAGAGGTGGAGTCTTCAAAGAAGCAGGCAGAACTGGATAAGAAGGCCATGGATGAGCTTCTGAGAGAGAGGGACATACTAAATAAGGTGAGTTAGCTCAATGCGGGTGAACAAACGCCTTTCTTCTACCCTGTAGTATCTGCCCACAACAAGCTGTGTGGGGCAAGGAAGCTCCGGAGCAAACAAGAACGGATGAAGAAGAATAACACTGCCTAATTTCCCTCCGAACAGCTGCTTACATTCTACCATTGTCTGGCCTGGAATTGAAGCTACACTATCACCGCTGAGCACAAAAGGACTCCGGAGAATTAGCGTACAAGCCAGCAGGGATTTCAGGGTGTTTTGTGAATTCTGTTCTCGTCCGCTGGTGTGTTATTTGGCATCTTAAGTAGTTGATCAAATTTCCTCCATTTAATATCTATAATCTGCAATCCGGCTAATCCCTAAATTACAGGCGTGAGTGCGAATTAAACTCTGCCTTTGAGGTGTTAGGCAAGGAAATGACTTCTCGGCCACGTAAGTCTGGCCTTTCTTCTGGCTGTCTTTGTGGGATTCTCCAAGTTTACATTTAGTGAGATGTTCTGTTGGGTTTCATCCCTCTGTCTTTCCGTGTCATGCTGGGACTGAGCCCAGGGTCTCACACACTTGTAGGGTCTGGTTTGGGTTTCTCACTCTTGTTTCTTCAGCTCTCTTGAGTTCATAGTGGTCTAAAGTGAAGGATGGTCGGGGAAGCTTTTGCTCCCCTTACAAACAGGTCTCTCTCTTTGTGTTACCTACTTCCAGAGGGTTCCCACCTGTGACACACTCTGAGGTCTTCCTCCTGGGAGGGAGAAGTCATAGGCAAGGTATGGAGAGGCCGGGCTACTTCCTGATAGCAGGATGGATTTGGCTCACCGAGGTAGGAATGCCTCTCAGAAAAAAACAAGTCTTAATGGAACAGCCTGCATTTTCCCTTGAAGCAGGCTGGAGAATATCCAGGAATGGCAGATTAGACATTTCTATGGACAACACTAAGAAAGAAAATTCTTGAAGTCTCTCCCCCATAAATCTACAAACTGTCCTTTATTCTGCAAACTTCCACCTAGTAAAACATCTATTGGATTTAGTTACCCACCTCTCTCTTTTCTTGTGATGCTGGGGATCGAACTCAGGGTCTCGCACACATCAGGCAAATGGTCCACCACTAAGCTACGCCTCCGGCTCTGGATTTTAAATTTATTTTTATCATCCGAACATTTAATCCCTCATCTTATAAACAGCTAGTAGGTTTCTGCTGCTACACAGGACATGCAGCTCAGGGGTTATTTTCCATTTCTTTGTTTGGTTTGCTTCATTGGGTCCTTCAGGGTGGGACCTGCAGTTCAATCTTTTTCCCACACCATTGCCTGCATGAGACTCAGTAGGCACGCAATCAACTTTATCGATTAATAAATTATTTCCTCACTGATTTGAAATGCCTACTTTCGTTGAATTAGAAAGAGCGACACTGTTTTGACAGGCGGCACAATGCATCTAGTGGCATCTACTGTTTCTCACAGCTGTGTGTGGAAGCAGTATTTAGAAAATAAATGCTTAGCTTGGTGCCCAGAACCCAGACTGACCTGTGTGTGTTCTATGTCACCACCCAGCTGATGCTTCATGGTTACTCAGACCTAGCAGTACCTTGGGCTCCTTAGGGATTCTAGAAGAAACCATAGAGTATCCCATGGAAGCCTTGGATCCAGCCTGTCCTCAGGAAATACTTGGAACCTTGCTGGCGTTCTCAGAATGGAAGCCTTCTTTTCTCATCACAAGCTTTCTTGCTGATGTTTTGATTCATTTCTGTTTTCTAGTCCACAAAGAAGGCACTCCTAGGTGTACATTGTCTACCGAGTTGCCAAATTATGAAGGGCCCCCGCTAGGGGTGGAGCTTAGAGGCAAGGAGGCTGCCTGGCGTGCACTAGGCCCTGGGTCGATTCTCAGCACCATGATGCAAACTCACAGGCATACCTGCACACAAATGAAGCCCTCTCTACGCCCCCCCACCCAAGGGCTCACCAGATCCATTCATTTGCGGCTGATGGGGTGAGTCCTTTTGGGAAGCATAACTATCAGGGTACGAAGCCCTTTGCTGCTTCTTCCTGAGGAAGTTGGGCAGCCAGGCCCAAGTATTCCTGATCTCACCAATGCCCTACTGTGGTTAGAAACGGTAGGCGCGGGAGATGGCTCACCTGGCAAGGGTGTTTGCTGCCCAGTCTCATGGCCTGAGTTCAATCCCCGGAGCTCTCATGGCGAAAGGAGAAATCTGACTCCTTGTCACCCCCTGACCCACACATGTGTGCCACACAAAACAAATAATTGTCCCAGACTCACTGCACTCGTCCTGGGACACGGACATCCACATTAAAAAAGTGTAAAATCTAGCTAGTTTTTTTTTTGTTAGCAAGTGTTAATTATACTTAATAATGGTTTTAGCATCTTTTTAAAGTATTTCAATCATATCCATTGTTAGACTTCCAGTGCAATCCCTTTTCTCTCTTCTGCTGCCATGTCTTCTGTATTGCTCTGAGGAGACACCATGACCACGGCAGCTCTTATAAAGAAAACATTTAGTTGAGGGGGCTTGCTTACAGTTCAGAGGTTCAGTCCATCATGGCGGGGGCATGACAGCGTGCACGCAGGCACGGTGCTGGAGAAATAGCCCAGTTCTTGCAGGCAACAGGAAGTTTACTGACAATCCTACCAAGGAAAGCTTGAGAAAAAGAAACCTCAAAGCCGGCTCCCATAGTGACACACTTCCTCCAACAAGGCCACACCTCCTAATAGTGCCTCTCTCTTTGGGGGGCATTTTCTTTCAGACTACCACAGTGACTCAGTGAGTTTTATTAGGATTGTTAACAGGTCCACGGGGAGGGGTTGTTTACAGACGCCTAGGAACTTTACAAGGAGCTGTATTATTGAAGAATTCTTTTTTTTTTTTAAAAAAAAACGTTGTGGTAAAATACAGTTAACAAAATTTACCACTAGGAACATTTCATACCCTTATAATGACACCTTAGCCGTCATTAGCTGGTTCTAGAACACTCTGTGTTCGCCGTGGTTGGAAACGGCGCCTGTTCTGCAGTCATAACTCATTACCACCCCACCACTCCCACTCCTAGAGATTTGAAATGTGCTTTCTGTCCCTGGGTTTGATGAGTCTGGCTGCCTGTGGACAGGGAAACACATACTATGTGACTTTCGTATCTGGCCTCTCATTCAGGGCATCTTTCAAGTTCTGCCAATACTGCAGCACATGTCAGGCTTCATTCACCGTTAGGGCTGAGTAATATTCCACTCCCATGTGTTTCTGGCATCCATCACTTGGCGACGCTGTGTTTTTATATTCAGACTTTCATGAATATGGCTACTATGAAACTTTCGCTTTTTTTTAAAAACAAAGTTTTATTTTACTAGTAACTTGCATGTAAACACTACAGATTTTCTTTGCGATTCAGAGGGATGTTTTGTGCATCTCTTTATTGCCTTATGATCATACCAGGGTGATCAATGTTCTCATCACTCTAATGTTGACATTAATCTCTTTTGTAACAAGAACGTCATAGTACTCTCTGTGTGCTTCTGTTTCCTTTAGTAGTGATCTAAGAGTCACTTTTTGGTCATTTGTTATTTATAGGTATTTGCTTTTTATCTATCTATCCATCCATCTATCTATCTATCTATCTATCTATCTATCTATCTATCTATCATCTATCTTTGATTTTATAAGTGGATTTAACTTTTCCATGCTCTGGGTACCTCAAGCCAGCACTTTATTTAGACGCATTCCTAGTCCCTGCCTTTTTCTTTTGAGATAAGGTCTTATGTACTTTGCTAGCCTCCTGGACCTCACTATACAGTAGAGACTGACTTTGAACTCACAATCTTCCCGCCTCTGTCTCTTGTTAAGAGTGTTGGGATTACAGGTTTGTGACCCAGTACTGGGCTCAACTTTGCGTACTTAACTGGGTAGTTGCATTTTACTTTGTAGACAAAACCTCTTTTATGTGGTTAAATCTGGTTGTTCAGGCTTTAGGACACAAAGGCCAGTGCTGGAATGAAGATGGATTCATCCAGTCCTGGCTCTGCCACTGCCCTGTGGTGTGAACTCACCCTTACCCTCCAGCCTCTAGTTCCCACTGCCCTGTGGTGTGAACTCACCCTTACCCTCCAGCCTCTAGTTCCCACTGCCCTGTGCTGTGATCTCACCCTTACCCTCCAGCCTCTAGTTCCCACTGCCCTGTGGTGTGATCTCACCCTTACCTTCCAGCCTCTAGTTCCCACTGCCCTGTGCTGTGATCTCACCCTTACCCTCCAGCCTCTATTCCCACTGCCCTGTGCTGTGATCTCACCCTTACTCTCCAGCCTCTAGTTCCCACTGCCCTGTGCTGTGATCTCACCCTTACCCTCCAGCCTCTAGTTCCCACTGCCCTGTGGTGTGAACTCACCCTTACCCTCCAGCCTCTAGTTCCCACTGCCCTGTGCTGTGATCTCACCCTTACCTTCCAGCCTCTAGTTCCCACTTCCCTGTGCTGTGATCTCACCCTTACCCTCCAGCCTCTAGTTCCCACTACCTGTGCTGTGAATTTACTTTTACCTTTCAGCGTGGTGTGAACTCACCTTTACCCTTCACTGTGGTGTGAACTCACCCTTACCTTTCAGTGTGGTGTGAACTCACCCTTACCCTTCTGCCTCTGTTTCCCACTGCTAAACAGTGAACAGTGCAGTCCATTTAGGCTCTTATAGATTGTCAGTGTATTTAAATATGCCTTGTGCAAAACTTGAATAACAAACTCTTCATAATCTATAGAGCCTGTGATCAGTTTGATTTGTACCAAACCCAAGGCATCTAATGATTTCAGACGTGGGCACTGGGGTAAACTGAACCCCGGTTCTCGCACACTGTGAATCAGGCACCTGCTTTGCTGCCTTTGCTTTTCAGAATATGCTTAAGGCCCTCAGTGCGACCCAGAAGCAGGTGGACCTGGTGAAGCTCCACGAGCAAGCCAAGAGGAACCTGGAGGACGAGATCCAGAACTACAAGGACGAGGCCCAGAAGCAGAGGAAGATCATCTTTCAACTGGAAAAGGAGCGCGATCGGTATATCAACGAGGCCAGTGACCTCACCCAGAAGGTAGGCCCCCTCCTCGGACTGTGGTAGGAGGGTTTGTTCGGATGCTTGCCTATGGTTTGCCTGCAGATGTAGGACTTGCCCTGGAGCTGATCCTGGGCCAAACTGTGGATCAGACCGTACTTCTGTCCTTTTCCCCCTTTTCCCGTGGCTTCTTTCTCTTTCCTGGCCAGCATCCTGTTTCTGGCGCCATCCTTTCTCAACTCTGTTCTCTCCCTGCATCTGTTCTCGACGCTCTCCTCACCTCAGAAGATGGAAGCTGAGCATGCTAGGAGAAAGACACCCAATTAAGCGATCTCCAGCCAGGTCCTGAGTCCCTCCTGTCCTCCCTGCCCCATGTCACACCTTTAAAGAGCGTTTTTATTTCAGTGGGAGCGTGAGCCCACAACTCCACCGTTGGGCAGAGTCCACACTTTGAGTAGCTGAGTTTCTCCTTCTTGTTAACCGCTTCGAGGACGACAGGCATGGTGACAGGCAGGTTTCTGATATTTGAACTTTTTAGCCAGTTGTCTTAGCGCATTGCTGGCATCAGATAAGTCCAGGTAAACAGTGGCTGTTGGCAGGGCACTCACCGGTAAATGACCCAGAGCAGAGATTCTTAAATTGTTTGCTTTCAAGATCTTTATTTGCCCAAGATTTTTTTCCCCTTAACCCCAGATACATAGGAATCTAAATAAATGTGTAAATCAAACATCAAACTGATAATAAATCATAAGCATATTTCCAAACAGTTCTTTGGTGCACATACAATGTCATCACTTCTTAAAGGTGAAAGCCAATTTGCATGCTAATGAGGTAGCTCTGCTTGCTTATTTTTAACATAAAGAATGAAAATCCTGGCTGAATATTTAATACCGCACAACATAAAGCACCCTTAATGTTTTTTGGAGTTGATTACTACTTTGATTTCCATAACTGTCAAAGCTGGGAATGCCACTTCACAGAAGAATGTCATACGGAATGGCAGATATATGTGTGTGGTCATTGTTAGGAAAAAAATCCTAAGACGCCGCCACAAAGAAGTCCAGTCAGGCCAAATCAAACCAAATTAAAATGCCCATGTTTTATTAAATGCAGCACTCTCGGGTGGCCGAGAGCATGGCAGGAGAGACAGAAAACCGGGGAGCACATGCAAAAGCCAGGACCACGTGTTCCTTCTCTGGGTGCCCTCCCCCGGGGTCATACTTGGATTTGGAGTCCAGACCAATGTAACTCCAAGACCAGGGGCGTCCAGACCAACGCAACTCCCAGGCGGGGGTGAAATGGGGTGGGGTGGGGGTGGAGGCGGGGAGGGCGGGGGGGGGCGAGGAGGGGGCGGGAAGGGACTGGGATGGATGGCAGGGACTGGGGGACACTCCCAACATAACAGTCGTTTCAGAAATTGTTGCAATCTCTGTCCAAATCCTAAGCCAAATTCTGTGCGATGATTGTTTTTAATGAAATTCAGGTCAGCAACTCAAACAGAAACTTTTGAAAACCGAACATTCTAACAATACAGTTCACAGATCCACGGATACTTACATGCTGAGGAGGGATGGAGGGAAAATATTGAGTCTTTGCTGTCTATAATTAAAGCATTTCTGTAAGGGGAGGAAAGTTTGAGAGCATGATCAAAGCACTGTGATCCATGACATACAACAGTCTCAGATCTGAGCTAACGGGTTCCAAGCATTCGCTCTGGTGCTGCGTTCTGTGACTTTCACAGTGCCAAGGGTGTGCGCATGCTCAGAACCAAGGCTGCCAGGTGTGCCACAGGCAAGCGCTACCGGAAACACCTGGGGTTCGTGGCGCCTTTGATTTCTAATTACATTTTAAAGATTTATTTTACGTGTGCGTTTTGCCTGCCTGTATGCATGTGTACCACGTGCAACTCTGGTGCCTGAGGAGGCCAGAAGAGAGCATTGGATCCACTTGAGTTGGAGTTATGGATGGTTGTGAGCCACCATGTGCCTGCTGACGACTGAACCTGGGTCTTCTGTAAGAGCAACAAGTACTTTAAACCCCCGAGCCACCATACCGCCCCCCCCCCCATTAATTTTTGGTTACTGTGCTTTCAGAGACCTTTAAGCGTGTTGCCCCGCCCCCACCCTCACCCTCGGCATCCCTCAGGGGTTTGTTCCGAAGTTTTGGAAGAGAGTCTGGAATAGAGGCCCAGAGATGCGGTGGGAGCTCAGAAAGGCGCTATCAGGCTAAGAGAAACTGGGTGAAAGACTCAATCTTTTTTTTCTCTCCCCTTAACAAAAGGTTGACTTCTGCAGTTCTGTGAACCTGTTTTTCTGCTTGTCAGTCAAACCCGCAATGAAGTGCAGAGTGCTGACTAACGCACTTGAATGTTTAAGCTTTGTTTTGCTGGTTGTTGCTTGAGTGAATTCTCAGTGATGATAAAGGGACAGCCACCAACACTTGGATTGTGTACACAGAGGGGAAGCAAGCGCTGGAAATAGGAAATGGGCTTTCCACCACTGAAAACAAAGTGGGATTTACAGAGGCAGGCTGAGGAGCACTAGAGACAGCCTGCAGCCAGCCCCGGCAGGTCCCCAAAGACACCCGCATTCCGGAGCCCGAGCCTCGCTAGCGGTGCACATTTCACTTCTGACAAATGCATGACTGGTTCCCCTACTCTGGGAGGACGCATTGCAGGTTCAGAGGTGGGAAATACAGTCTAGGCTCCATATTAGCTTTTGTTTCCATCCGCCTGCCCTACAGAAAATAATCCCTGCATGTCTGGTCCACAGCGACAGAGATCTGTTCTTTCTTAGGTGAACACCCTATGAGGGTCAACCTCAGACCGGCATAGCAGGAGGAGCCCGGAGGGAGGGATTCTCTCCAGCTTCAGCTGGCAGGTCGGGGGTGGGGCTTGTCCACTCATACTGCACCCCGCGTACCTGACATCCTGGGCCGGGTTTGGATGCACCTATTGGGAGCCCTGTGGGGTGAGGCCGTGCAGGTACTTGAATGTGAGAAATCAAGGATTAGAACTTCTCCCTGTGTGGAGAACCATCTCTCTCTACTCCAGGCTGCCATCACCTCACCCGAGCAGAGCTAAACCCCTAAGAACTCCTCTGTAGCTTTTGTTAATATTTAACTTTAAAGTTTGTTTGACAGGGTCATACTGTGTGGCCTGGGATGGTCTTGGATTCAAGATCCTCCTGCCTCAGCTTCCAGAGTGTTGGGATTACAGATGTACATCAACCATATCCCTTCCCCCTGACTTTTTAATTCCCTGTCTTTCTCAGCTGTCACCTGCCAGCTCCCTGGATAAGGCTTCCTAATGATGTTCACAGCACAGTCCATGGAGAAAACTCAGGGTCTTCTGTTCTTAGGAATCAGGGCTAGAATGTACTAATACAGGGATGCGGGCTCCCTGGACTCTTGCTGCCATGCTGGGAATGGAAAGAACCAATATACAAACCTCATGCATAGTACAACAGCCGGGGTATTCTGACCTGTGCAGCGGAGTCCAAGTTCTTTTTTCTGTCTGGAAAGTTATCTTGTCTCTTCGCTGTATGGAAAGCTCCTATGCATCCATGAGACTTAGCTCAGCTGCCAGGTCAAACCTCCTTAGGGAGGAAGGTTCATTTCCTGTATCCTAGGTTTGTTGGTATCTCTGGAATGGTACTTATGGACTTATAGTATAATTACTTGTTGACTTATTTGTTTTCTCTGCTTTTTAAAGAGAGCTCTTGGGGGGCAATGACGTTACCTCATGCGGCATCTTTATTTCCAGTCCCCTGGTACGCAGCGGGCACTAAGCAAGTTTTCAGTGGCTAAATGATGAGGGGTTTAAAAAACGCTGCTATAGTTTTTATTTAAGGTGTTATGTTTTTCTCGATTCCCCCGAAGAGGAGGAATATTGGTGTGGAGATTTGCTGTCAGCTGTTTTTCACAGTTTCTAGTGCTTGAAGTGGATGGAGTTGTACAATCTCACCCAAGCAATTTCAGTATAAGTTCTTAAAATATTGCTTACCGGCTACAGCATTTCTGTCTCTTGCTTTATTTATCTTCCAGCATATGTGGATGCACAGCGCACCCTTGTTTCCATGCACGCAAAGCTCTATTCCACACCTTCCATTTGTAAGGCATTAGGAACTAAGACCAGGGTTAGAGACATGGCCATTTGCTAAAGTGAGTCACATACTCCAGCCTGCCACCTTGACTTGGGAGCTTCTGTTGTACAAACCACATCTAAGGAGAAATAAGGAATGGAAAGAGTTTTATAAAAGAATGTTCCTCATGGTATAATTTAGAATAATGAAGAATAGAGAGCAGTACCCTGAAAGGTTAAACAAATTGCGTTGTGCTTATCTGATAAAATATTAAGAAGCTGTTGTGCATAAATATTAAAAATGGGAAGCATGTGTATCATATGACTGTGATAATAATACAGAATTATGCAAATGGTATAACTCCAATTTTATCTATGCACACAAAAGGGCTGGCGGCGTTTATTTTGGGGATGGTTGTGAGGAGTAAATGAGACCATACTTTTAAGGTGTTTGGAAACTTGTAGCCACATGGCGAGATGAGTACTGTATCAGCTCTCCAGCAAACACATCTGTTTGACAGATAATCCAGGGCTTGCCTTCACAGTAGTATTTGAGTAGCGCTATCCTCAACCTATTAAACGCCCACAAGGTACAGACAGGAGAGTAAGACAGGCAAGAGTTTTAAAGCCAACAGAGGTGAATTGGAAAAGACCTAGACCTCCACTCATGGGTTCTTCAGTTTGCTTCATCAGACAGATGACCCAAGAGGAGCTGGAAAGACAGCCCAGCATCTCTCCCTGCTAATCTTCCATGACAGGGCTGGTGTCACCTATCAGCGTCACTCTGAGCATTAGCCAGCATTAGTCATGGAGCAGAATGAGCAGGAGGAATGTCTCATGTGGTTACAGGGGCGGAGGATTCCTACAGTCTTCCATCTTAGGCTGGAGGCCCAGGAAAACTGGGGTGTACATCAGTTTGTACTTGAAGGCCCCAAACCAGGGAGATGAGGGTGGAAAT